ACTGTTTTGGAGCTTGTTTCAGTCCATATAGTGATTTCACGAGTTTACACACTTCGTGTTCTTGATCTTGTACAAAAAATCCTTCCAGTTGTTGTATGTAGATTTCCTCATTTAACTCTTCATATAAGAAAGAGGTCTTAACATCCATTTGATGGATTTCAAGCTTGTAGAATGAAGCTAAGGCAATCAACACTCGAATGGTGGCGATTCTAGCCACCGGAGCATATATATCAAAATAATCGATACCCTCCTTTTGAGTAAAACCCTTAGCAACTAATCTTGCTTTGAACTTGTCAATTGTGCCATCAATTTTCTTTTTCTTTTGAAAATCTATTTACAATCAATTGGTTTGGATCCAGGTGGCAAATTAACAAGTATCCAGGTATTGTTACCCATGATAGAATCCATCTCATCGTTTATTGCTTGTTTACAGAAAGCAACACCTTGAGACTTCATAACCTTCTCAAAGGTTGATGGATCTGAATCCATATTCAAAGAAATCATTGTTTGCATACAATAAGCTTTCCTAGTTCCTTCTACAAGATAAATAATGAAATCAGGGCCAAATGACTTCTCAGTCCTAGCCCTTTTACTCCTTCTTAACTCAACAGGCTCATTAGGTTCATTAGGCTAAATGGGTTCATGTCGTTCACTTTCCTCTGTAGACATCAAAGGAGTTGATTTATTTCTTTGATTAGAATCCAACTTTGAAATGGTTGTGAAACGATTCTCATAAAATACCGCATCAAGTGATTCAATGATGGTATTTGTTTCCACTGAACCATTGGGATCTACTACCAAAAACCTATATGCTTTGCTATGTATAGCATAGCCAAGGAATATGCATTTAATTCATTTTTCACCTAATTTCTTCTTTTTAGGTTCAGGAAATCTGACTATTGCTTTACAACTCCATGTTTTCAAGTAACCTAGATTAGGTTTCTTGTTTTTCTAAAGTTCATAATGAGTAACATTTCTTTCCTTGAGAGGAATTTTATTGAGTATGTGACAGACAGTGAACAATACTTCACCCCAAAAACCAGAATTTAAGCTAAAGTAAGAAAGCATAGCATTAATCATTTCTGTTAATGTTCTATTCTTTCTTTTAGCTACTCCATTTTATTGTGGTGTGTAGGGTGCAGACTTCTCATGAATAATACCAACATTTTCACAATATTCTGAAAAATGGTATTTACTGCCTCTATCAGACCTCAGACTCTTTATTTTGACATTACACTAATTTTCTACTTCTGTCTTAAAAATCTTGAATTTATCAAGCACCTCATCTTTTGAATGTAAAAGATAGATAAGACAGTACTTAGAAAAATCGTCAATGAACGTTACAAAATATTTCTTACCACCTCTAGTGGGGGTACAATGCATGTCACATACATCACTATGCACAAGTTCTAGCAGAGATGTGGTTTTATCTACTTTAGGAAATGGAATGTGAGTAATTTTAGATTGCACACAAAATTTGCATTTCTCAAACATATCAATGTCATACTTAGGAATTAAATATTTCTCAAACATATCAATGTCATACTTAGGAATTAAATTTAAATTAACCATATCATGCATTTTCCTAGTATTAACATGACCTAAACGAGCATGCCATAAAGAAAGAGAGTCAACAATATAGGCAAAAATAGATGTATTATTAATAACGTTAAGTTTGAACATTCATTGATACACGTAGCCCTTCCCAACAAAAATCCCACCCTTAGACAAGACAAATTTGTCTGACTCAAATACTAACTTGAAACCATGCTTATTAAGCAGGCTTCCAGATAAAGATTTTTCCTGACATTAGGTACATGATAAACATCATTAAGACTTAAGACTTTTCTAGATGTGAACTCTAGACCCACCGTCCCTTTGCCTTTAATAGCAGCAATTGAAGAGTCGCCCATGTAGAGAACTGTTTTATCACTCACTTGTTCATAAGTAGTGAAACAACTCTTGTTTGTAGACGTGCCTTGTTACTCCTGAGTCAATCCACCAGTCACCAGCATCTTCTTGTATGACCGGCATTCATTTCTGAAGTGCCCTGGCTTGCCACAATGCCAGCAAGCGCCTTTTAGCTTCTTAGCATCTTTCTCAGGTTGGGGGTCATGCTTACACTTCTTTTTGTTGAACCTCTTGCCATCATCCACTATGTGAATCTTAGAAGTCTGAGCCAATTGGCTTTCTTTACTTTCAAGAAGTCTTTACTCTTCCTCAACTTCGAGGTGTTGAGTCAATTCCTCTAAAGTTAGATCTTCTTTTTTGTATTTTAGAGTTTTCTTAAAATTCTTCCAAGAAGATGGCAGTTTCTCTATTATAGATGAAACTACAATAGATTCATCCATGTTCATATTCTTTTGTCGAAACTGATTCAGAATATGTTGGATCTCATGGAATTGTTCCATAATGGGCTTTGTATCAATCATAGTAAAACGCATAAAATTACTAAAAAGAAATTTCTTACCGGTAGCATCCTTGGTGAGGTACTTTGACTGTAATATGTCCTAGAGTTGTTTTGCCGTTTCCAGATGTTGATACACATCGAACAAAAGGTCTGACAGCGTATTCAGAATGTGTCCTCGGCAAATGTAGTTGTCATTCTTCCATTTGGTTCTGGTATGGGTTTGCTCCATAGTCTCATCTTCTTGTTCCGCTAGATAAGGAGTATTCAGCACATAGACCACTTTGAAAGTTGTGAGCAAAAAATGCATCTTCTTTTGCCAGCGTCAAAAATTTCCTCCATCCAATTGGTCAAGCTTCGTGAAATCTTGAGTCATTTTTTGAATAGACATCGCCATATCAAATATTGTCTTTAGATTGTTGGAACAATTAGTCTTGAATTCTTTAGTTGGTGGTTTTCGGGTCATCAAAACTTGGCAATGATCTTGTCTATATATAACAAAAATTTAGTGCTTCAAGTCGCGTTACTTAGTCGTTTTTCTAAAGACAATATTTGCATCCACCAAAAATTGTGCTGTGGATTACAGCAAATTCGCCTCCAGGATACAATGAAGTCTGATCTAAAGATCAAGTCTACTGGTGTCTGCACTGACGACAGTAGATCAGAATACTCATGATATAATCAAGAAAACCAAAACATTAATAATTCTACCAGTAAGAAAAGCAGAAACTTACTTAAGAAACATTTGATTGAAAACTCTAAATCAAGAGGGAGAGAGAGTGTGAGAATTGCAATTGTAGGAATGCTTTCTAAATTTTGGATGGATTGAAATGGCTGATTTCGCAACCTATTTATAGGCCTTGATGCATTTGATCGAATGATCATATCCCTTGATCGCACCCGATCAGATCTGACCGTTGGATCGACGATCTATGGTGCAGATCATTCTCACACCGAATAGACGTATTGACTAATCATACCTGATCACAATTGGGTTCCATCTCATTCGTACGATCGCGCATCTCCAATCAACGACTATGATCAACCGCTCCAGATCGAACACACAACCGTTCGATCGGTTAGTTGACTCATCACCAACGGATGCCACATCACTGCCACGTGGAGTTGACTATATTCCACATCACCCATGCCACGTCATTGCTCCAACCTGTCCGATGCAAATTGGAAAGCGCCCTCATGGCGCCTTGCACCGATGCGTCTGTGCAAAGTGTGCCATCAAACCCCACACAGTCCACGCTGGGCGGTTAGTTGACTTATCACCAACGGATGCGCCTTGCGCCGATGGGTCTGTGCAAAATGTGCCATCAAACCCCACACAGTCCATTGCCCACGCTGGGGGCGCGTGTGGTGCGAAGCACCATCCTTGCAGTGTGAGTGCATGCACACTAGCTTTCACCTCACAATTCCATATTCAAAAGAATATTCCATGTAGCACTTTATTAAGTGCTCCATTTTTCGCTCTCTTTCCAATGTGGGACAAAGTCCCCAAGCTTATTTCATACTTTCCAAAGAAACATGGAAGATTTTGAAAACACCCAAAAACTACACAATAAATTTGAAAGCTCATTTTAAAAATTGCCCAACACAGAAGAGCTTAGTCTCTTGAATAAACATAAGGTTAATGCTTCTGACCAAATTAGACATGAATATTATACAAAAGCAGTGTTCTTAACTGTGCTGAATGAACTGTCTCTCTGACAAGTCAATATAGAAGAAAAGCGCATCTACATGCTGGTCTGCCTTCACTTCCAAGGCCATCATCATGCTCTAAATAAAAATGTGATATGACATTATACACTTGCAATGCATTTTCGGTAAATGCATGAAGCATTTCATCATACACTTGTAATGTAATGCCAGAAGAAAGTTTATTTTCAAAATTTCTCAATCCAAGAAAAAACGCGATACCAACCTGCTGATGGAGGGGCAACATCGCTGCTGGAAAAGGCTTGGAGATGCCGGGGTTGGAGTTGACCATTAATGGAGGAGCCTCTTGCACTGTGGATCTGATTTAGAGCAAAATTGGATGGGGTAGGTATTCTGAGTGAAGAGTGAATGACTTGATAAAAAAAAGTGACTGCTATGAGCCCCTGTTTACCAAAACGATGTCACTTTCTCAGTACCAAAAACAGCACCATTCCACTAAGTACATTCTCCTTCCACGAAAACATTCTTATATATCTCATTTTTTCCCCTCTATGTCCCATTTTAAATCTGTTTAGCAAATTGCTCATCAATATTTGCTCTCGTATCTGTTACCTGCCCCCATTTTCTCTACCCCGATAAAGTAGGGGATGGAGACAAGGGACTCCAAACCCGCCCCCGCCACATTGCCATTCCTATGGACTTCAAGAATAGTAATACTACGAACTCACACACAAAAAAATAATAATAATAATAAATAAATAAAAAAGGTACCTGTAATTTAAAATCTATGACCAAAATTCACTCAAGATGTAACCCCACTACAAGAACTTTAAAAGTACACGATAGATCAAAAATTCTTGACAATTTTTTACTATTCTCTGATTCCGTAGACTTTTCCCATCACGAATTGAACCCTTAAATCCTTCTCTCTTTTTTTTAGATGTCATGGCAGGTTTTTTTTTTTTTTTTTTTAGCATTTTACTACAATGACTTGGCAAGACTCAACTCACATTGCAGGCCATGTATAAACGAGAGAGAGAGAGTTTCTGTAACTGATGTTTCCTCTATAGAAATTAAAAAGCTGGTGATTTATTTATTACTAGACCAGCTTTACAATATAAAATTACACTGTAGTTAAAAATGGGGTTACTACTTGTCACATTATAAGGGTTTGGTTATCAATAATACTATGATGATCATATTTTCTTATTATTTTTGTACACCATCTCATATGTCACCATTGCATTGATAACAAGTGACGAGACTCATTAAATCAATACAGTGTTTAACATAAAATGGTGAACAAACCAAATATAAAAAGAAAAAAAAGAGTATAATCATCATAACATTATTGTCAAGCAATCAACCCGTCTACCTTACCTAGACTTGACAATTTCTTCTTTCATGGCCAAAGAGAGAGCACTGAGCTTGCCACCACATTCCACTCTGACTGAAGGCATCACAACAGCCCTACTTCCCACAAATCCACCTTCCCCAATACTGATCTTCCCAAACTTAACTTTTCCTCCTTCACCTTCATATATATGTCCAAACAGAAGAGCTTCCTTACCCACACAACCACCTCTCTCAATCTCCACCATTTCAGGGTTCAAAACTGCTTCCATGCTATCCACATAAGCACCAAACTCAATATCTGATCCCATAAGCTTCATCCACATCACAAACAAAACAGACCCTCCTGTCATTTGCATGAAATAATCCCCAACTACTGTCCTAAAAGCTTGCCATATAGTGTCCATAAACACTTCTTTACTCCAAATGAGCACTGTTTTGCCTTCTTTTTTCTTCCCCACCAAGACCCATTTGGCCATAACACAAGCTAATGCAGTCAAAATCCCTGAAGAAACCCAGAACAGAGGAAGCAACCAATGCAATGGATACTTCATGGTGTCCTTCATGTAAAGAACCCAACTTAGAGGACCAAAGATTACTAACCCCATGAAGTAATATGGAAGAACAGTTTGTAGAATAGGTTGACCAAATATAGCCCATGAAGCTTGATACCAAGTCCTTGCCAAAGTCACTTCTTGTGTATCCTTTTTTTCCAATGCTGCCGCCATAGGACAGCCAGAAAGATCTACTTTAACATCGGATTGCTCTATGAAGGACCTCCATGCCTCGGGAAGTGGTTCCCCATTTCTCAAATGCTGGCAAATCTCATAGATCAATGAACGGCCGTGATCAATTGAAGCACTCTGGGAAGACGATGTAGCTCGGATGACATCCACCTCGGGGCATCGGAGGAAGGGGTTGAACTCCAACTCCTCTGATTGTTCTTTGGTGAGTTTTTGATCAAGAACTATCTCCCCAACATCAATCAATGGGAACTCAGTCTCATCCCATGGCTTTGTGCAGTCAAGTGCAATGTCTCGAATGGCTTCATCCTGTGGTATGGACCGAAATTGGAGTTGGAAAACATAGCGGACCCCACCAGGTGAATCAATGCGGTGTTGGAAATCTTCAGCAAGGAAAAGTAGCGGGCGACTGTCATTTTCATCCCTTGGAATTGCCCCTGTTTCTGGAGGGAGAATCCCAATGGGCACCACTCTACCTGAATCTTCACTGATCTTTTCATCAAAAGGCCGCAACTTGAACTTCACATACATTTCCTGTCCATCTATGAACCGGAAGAGTCTGCATATATTAGAGTAGTAATGCATCTCGGTATATGAGTTTGAATTGCGTAGGGAATTCCACACTGCATCACGAACATGTGGGACACGCTTCACATGTGCTTCCCTTGCAGGTAGACCACATACAAGCCATGTTGCAAAATCAGAAATTGTCCGGGCATAGAATGCATTGCCTGTCTTCAAGGTCAAGTCAAGCAGCGGAGAATCTGCACCTGCTTTATCTGAGAAAATTCTTACCGCTGCACCACGTGCATCGATCCTAGCATCATCATCAGCACTCAAGCTATTACTGTGCCGAATTATGACAGGATAACTCTTTCCAGGTTGGAATATCTTGTGATCTGGAAAGCTTTTGATGTTATCATATATCTTCAAAACTCCCTTCCCACTGACACCAATTCGATGGAAATATCTTGTTCTAACCTTCAGAGTTGTCGCAGCCAAATTTGCAGCTAGATTTCCAACTATCTTCTTGTATTTCATGTCCATCTCTTCTATTCGTTCATCCAAAGCATGCATGGTGTTCTTGATCATGATTGGATTTTGAGAACCAATATAAACACCACCCCTTCGGAGAACTGAATACATTGGAGCAACAGAAAGTGCACCAAGAAGAACATCCTTCTGCATAACTGAACCAGGAAGGACTAGGCTTTGACTCCCCACCACAGAGTTATCTTGCACCTCTATTTTACCAGATACAAACCCAATGGATGAATAGAAACCAGCTATGATCCGGCTGAAGTCACCTAGATGGACACCATCACCGATTGAAATTAACTTGGGTTCTGAAACAGGGTTTATGGCTCTAATAGAACAATGTTTTCCAACTTTTGCACCTAAAAGACGAAAGTACATGCAAAAGGCTTCTGTTCCAGAAAGCAGCTTGGCAAATCTAAGGTGGCAGGCTATGGTAATCCGGTGGCAAAGCCAAGTTTGCAAGTGGCTTTGCTTTGTTTCCTGGTGTCTGGTAAGAAAATGGGCCACAATAGCAGTGAGGAAGCTGAGTATCAAGCCATGAGCAAGGTAAGCAATGGCAACTGAGATGGCAAAGCTCTTTGCTGTCGAAAAGGCACTACCAATCATAGTGGCATATGCAATGATGGCAAAAGGAAACCAGTGGAAGGCACCAGAGATACAGAGGAATGCAAAATGTTGTATTGAAGGAGGCTTTTGGGATATCCAAATATAGAGGAAGTAAAGGATAGCTGCTGAGAAGGAGCTGAGAAAACCAACCACGTAGATACCCATGAGGTGGTAAATAGCTCCAGTTTGAGTATCACTAGTGGCTTTTTGCAGTGTTGCACCCTGCAACCATGGTAAAAAAACATAAGGCACTAGCGATCCAGGACAAGTTTCATGCATTCATTAAATATTAAACGACAGTCACCTCACAGATACATCAGTATGAGCACAGTAAGGCAAAACGGTAACATCTGATCAGTGCAATGCACAAGAAAGCCAAAAAAAATTGGAATTTTTGTATTTAACCACCTTGGTGACTAGTAGTAATTCACAATACATTCCACAACAACGTATTTTATCATCAGAAATTCTCATAATCACAGTTATCTCCATGCAAGTTGACAAGGGAATAAGCATGTGAGTCTAAAATGAAAAAGTATAACGAGAAAGATGAATGAAATTCAAGTCTGAAAGTAAGTGATTATATAAGACAATACTTCCTTCTTATTTTATTTTTCTTTTTAAGACTGTTGTCACTAGATGGCTAGATGGTGAATTTCTTGAGTAATGCAAAATGCCATCTACAAGTACAATATCAAGACTTAAAAACTTGATCTTTGGTGCCGACAAATGGATCGAAAGAAAAATAAGATACTTTTCTAAGTAATCAATTCAGAATCCATGGAAGTAACAGAACATAAGATGCATTTAGAAGAAAACTTTTTAGTATTTCAACTTTAGAACAAGCCAAACTTCTTAATTAGCATATCTATAATTTAAATAAAAATGAGAAGTTAAAGTATGTACCTTCTGAATATTTTTACCCCTGGTAGATTTGAAAACAGGCTTGCCTCCTTCTGTCTTTTGCAAAGCTGGTACTTCACAATCTTCTCCCAGAACACTTCCTTTCTGGATCAAGGCATAAGGACCAACCGAAGAATTGCTTCCAATTTTTATTGGAAGGAAACTCAAGATTCCATTTTTCACCTCATGGCTTTGAACCAATGCCCCTTCTGCAATCACAGCCCCATCTCCTATAGAAACTAGTGATGGATCTGTAATGTCAACAGTATCGAGCAAAACTGATGATCCAATCCTAGCCCCAAGCATTTGAAACCAAAATTTCAAGAACACTGTTCCTCGTAGATGCACTGCCATAACTCTTGAAGAAACTTCATGGGCCTTGTAGAGTGCCCACCATTTCACAAAATCTGTTGACCATATGGAAACTTCAGGGGTGAGGGCATAGTTTGGTTGAAGGAATGAATTCCCGAAGAAAGCAATACAAATGCAGGTTAAGAATGTGCAAAGGATCCAAGCAAGCGGGGCAAAGGCTAGGGAAATCATATAATTCAACCATGGACTTTGGCTCAAAGATATCAGATTCATAAAAGCAGAAACTGATATATATGCAGGGAGGATCAGCATGGAGGAAACATACGTAAGAGCTAGAAGTTGTAATAAGCAAATTCCCAGTTGGAAAGAAAGGGAAACTTCAGGTATCAACTCAGAAGAATCAGTCTCTGGTTCTGGAAGATAAGATGGAATTGTTGTACTCTGAGGTTGAGACTTCTTAAGAAGATCCTCTGAGAAACATGCAAGTTCTTCAATGCAAGTGGCAGTGAAAATATCAACTGCCCCCACTGGCACTCCTAGGAAATCTGAAAGCTTTTGAGCTGCTCTGACTACACCAATCGAATCAATTCCATAAGATACCAGGTTCTCAGTTGTAGAGATCTTGTTGATAGAAATACCTGTCTGTTCTGAAACAAGCCGCCTCAGAAACTCTGTGATTTCTTTGTTACCCAATCTCGTAAATGGTAAAGGAGGACCATTAACCATCTGAGATCGAGGTGTTTTTCCCTCTTTACATGTACCTGTAGTGAAGGAACGAGCCAGAAATCTTTTTGACATAATTGGATCTGGCACTAAATTGAGTGTTCCATCAGTGAACTGTTTGAGGCAATCAAACCTCTTGATTTTACCAGATGTTGTTTTACTGATGGTTCTGGGCTTGATTAGCTTAACAGAAGCAACAGTGACCCCATGTTCTTCTGCAACTCGGGTTTGAATTTGTTCAATGGCATGTTTAGGAACAGGTTTACCATCTCTGACCTCTGCAATGACAACCAAGCCTACTTGATCAGAACTATCAGGAACTGATATCCCTTTTGTTGACAATATTTCCTCTGGAACCCCAATGACGGCACAGCAACCTGGGCGAATAAGTTCAGATGAGCTCTCAACTGTCTTTTCTACGTCTGCCGAGTATATGTTTCTACCAGCAACAATGATAAGATCTTTGATTCTACCAGTGATGAACAACTTCCCATCAATTATCCGCCCCAAATCACCAGTTCTTGTGTACTTTTTATTGAGGCAACTCTGAAATATATTTCCGAAAGTTCTCTCACTCAGATCCTCCCTACCCCAGTATCCAATTCCTGCACTTGGACTGCTAATCCATATATCTCTCCCTCCTTTCCAGCTTCTTCGTGCTCTTTGCCGGTTTCTGGATCAATTATTCTAATGTCAACATCCGCATCATCTGGATTCACATATCCACAGCAAACTCTTCCTTGCCAATCTACCAAGATGGGAATCCCTTCACCGTAAGCACAACTAACAAACACACAATTTTCTGCCAGTCCATAACCAGGAGCCATCACCTCTTGGGAAAGACCAAAAGAACTGGTGAGCTCAACAAATCTTTTGAGAGTTTTCTGTCTCACCGACCGCGATTCAGCAGCAACCATGAAGAAAATCATTGAAGAAAGATCATAGTTCGAACCTTATCCTTGTCTGATTCTAATCTTCGAACCACAAGTTCAAAAGCAAAGTTGGGGCCGGCACTGTGTGGTACCATGATATTTGCTTATGTATCTGAAGCCACAAGAGGGGGTTCTTGATGAATGTAATTGGGAGAATAATATGGCAGATCCCCCACTAACCATAGCTGTAAAAATTCCTCCTATCAGTCCCATATCATGGTACTGAGGAAGCCAGCTTACTAGGACTGTCTTTGATGTGCTCTGTATCTTTTCCGCATTAACTTCACATTATGAATTAGTCTCCATGAGTTATCATCACTCCTTTAGCATCACCAGTTGATCCTGATGTGAAATGCAGAAAGCAGAGATCATTGGCCTGGGGTTCAGAAGGATAACCTATGTCCTCTGGAAGTGTGTTTTTGGAGTTCTTAATCCAAGAATCTGTGTGTAACCATGGAAGATTAGGCCAGCGAGCTGAGGATTTCCCATTTTTACTCGCCAATGAGATCAAAATTCTTCACGGCACCTGCCCAAACAGCTGAATGATAACCAGTGGTTGATAGATTGCCACTGCATTGCATGATTTGGCAATGTTTTCAATCTTCAAAAGTGCTTGTCCGCCTCTTTGAAGCGGATCTGGAGGAAGAACTGGGACTGGTAATACTCTAGCTCTCAAGCACCCAAAGAAAGCATCAATGAAATCAAGTCCGGGGATGTGGACCAGGAGAACCCGGTCACCAGGCTTGATTACTGGTTTCTGGCCTCTCAAGAGGTTTGAGCTATGCAAGAAGCATTGGCATGAAGTTCTCCATAAGTCCTCTGATACGCCCCTTCCCCTTCTTCATTAATCCAAGTGTAGAGGGTTTTATTTTGAGTGACTTTATGAGATCCCCAGTGCTTCAGATAGCCATCAAGTGTACACAAATCAGGAAATTTCACTCCTGAGGATTCTTCTAACGCTTTGGGCTTTCTATCCCAGCGATCTGATGAATGTGGAAAAAGTCTCTGCAGAAACAGGGTATGTTCAGAACATCAAAAAATGTAATCTGATTACTGGTCTTTTTAAAAATATAGACTGTGAAGTTTACCTAAGATATGGGAATGTCGGCAATGAACTATCATTTGCAAAATGCTTGCAGACTAGAGCTATGGCATAAGATGAATTTTCTTTCAGTGAGCTCAAATGCCACAAGTCCACCTACATAGTAAGTGTTCTGCTGACCTTGAAGTTGACTCTCCACTTTGTCATAGAACCCTTCCTTCATACGTC